TGGGCAGTGGAGTCCCATAAGGCTAGGTCCTTGGACCAGTGCCATTCAATGTCTTCATCAGTGACTTTGGACGAAGGCATGGAGAGCACCCTGTCCAAGTTCGCAGACAATAACAAATTATGGGGTAAAGTTAACACACCATAGGGTAGGGAACGGAATGGATCCAGAAAGATCTGGACAGGTTGGAAAAATGCGCAGAACAAAATAGGATGCAGTTCAACAAAGACAAGTGCACAGTGCTGCATGTGGGCAAAAAGAACCACCAACACACTCACAGGCTGGGAAGTGACCTTCTCAACAGCACAGCAGCAAAAAGGGATCTTGGAGTCATAGCTGACTCCAGGATGAACATGAGTCGTCAATGTGATGAAGTGATCAACAAGGCTAATGGCACTTTATCATCCATTAGCGGATGCATGACAAACAGGTTCAGGGAAGTGATGCTTCCCCTCTATGCAGCACTGGTCAGACCGCAGTTGGAGTATTGTGCCCAGTTTTGTGTGCCACACTTCAAAAGGGATGCAGAGAATCTTGAGAGGGTTCAGAGGAGGGCCACTCGTATGGCCTCAGGCCTTCAGGAACCCTACAAGGAGTGACTGAGGGACCTAGATCACTTCAGCCTTCACAACAGAAGGCTGAGAGGTAATCTTGTGGCTGTCTATAAATTCATCAGGGGAGGGCAGTGGGGAATAGGAGATGCTCCGTTTACTAGGGCACCCCCTGGAGTAACTAGGAACAATGGCCACAAATTGACAGACAGCAGATTTAGGTTGGACATTGTAACAGCGGGGTCCTGCAGGAGGGCCGTGAGCTCCTTAAGGCCCCCTCTCCGTGTAAAGTTGGTCCAAGGGCACCCTCTATTTCTTGCCCGCCACGACTTTGATGGTCTAAATTGGTTGGGAGGCTACCTCACGTCTTCTTGGGCACGGTCTGATGTACTCTCTAGTCCTATAGACTCCTGGACCCCTCATGGGTCTTGTCCTGCCAACAGGTGCTTCAGAGCACCCTAGCCTTATGGGCTACGCGTGGCTCCAACCACCCCTGATACCACGCCCCAAGCCTCACAGATGGAATTGATGTTGGATTGTCCCTATCTTTCTTTCTGCATACGCTGCTGCCCCCTCCTGGGGCTCTCCTCGACCTCTCGGGGTCTTCCGTGCGCCGTCTCCCTCTCTCGGGGCCTTCTCTGCGCTGTCGCCCCATCTGGGGCCTTCTCAATAGTGCCCCCTCCTGGGGCTTGCCACGCCCGCACTGGGCTTCTCGATAACGCCCCCTTTCTGGGGCTCTCTGCGCCCATGCTTGGGCTTCTCAAATGTCGCCCCCTTTCTGGGGCTCTGCACCCACACTGGGTTTCTCAATAAGGCGCTCCCCTTTCCGGGGCTTGCCGTGACCAACTTGGGCTTTCCAATAATGTTGCCCCCTTTCTGGGGCTTGCCACGCCCGCGCTAGGGCTTCTCAAAAGTGCCCCTCTCTAGGGCTTGCTACACCCGCACTGGGGCTTCTCAAATGCCTCCCCCCCACCAGGGCTGGGGTCTAAGCACCCAGTAAGCTGTGCCCTCACTGGCACTAGGGCCACCACAGCACTGTGGGTCCCTATGAGTATGCTGCGCCCACTCGGGTGCTGGGGTCCTCACCCTCTGTTGTGAGTCCCCAATGAGGCCTCCTCCAAACCCTATAACCTCACCCAAACCGCCCCGTTTTAGCCTCAGCCTTGGGCTTTATAGGAGCCAGGCCCTGCCTCCTACAGGCAGCTGACCACTGGCAGGTGTGGGTCATTTGCTCCCTCCACTTGCCCTGGCAACCCACAGGTGGACTCCTATTCCCTGCTAGGGCTCTTTTCCCCAGCAGTTTCCCCTCTTTAGGAGCAGGGCACCTCAGTGCTCTGCAACAGACATGACAAAGAACTTCTTCACAGTAAAGGTTGCTAGAATCTGGAATGGGCTTCTGAGGGAGGTGGTGCTCTCCCCTACTTTGCGCATCTTCAAGAGGAGACTGGACAAGCATCTAGTGGGGGACGTCTAACTCCAGTGATCTTTCCTGCCCAGGGCAGGAGGTCGGACTTGATGACCTACTGAGGTCCCCTCCAACCCTAACATCTATGAATCAATGGATGAAGGGGACTTGTTATGAAAGAGCCAGCATGGCATTCGTAAAGGGAGGCATGTCTTACTTCGGGGGTGTACTAGAGTTCTTTGAGGGTGGCAGCTAGCTTGTAGATCAGGATGATCCAATCAATATAGTGTGTTTGGGCTTTCAAAAAGCTTTTGACAAAGTCACACAAAGCCTCTTTATAAAATTAGGTGGTCATGGAATTAGAGAGGAAGGTCCGTTCATGGATTAGTAACTGGCTAAACGACAGGAAACAGAATGGGATAAGTGACCAGTTCTCACAATGGAAGAAAGTAAGCAGCAGGGTCCCCAAGAGTTTATGCTAGGACCTGAGCCGATTAGCATAGTAAATGATTTGGAAAACATTGGGCAAGTTTGCAGGTGACACCAAAATATTCAGGGTGCTAGAAAACAAAGCTGACCGTGAAGAACCACCAGATAAGGAATTACCATCTGTCACAATACTTGCCAGGCCTCTGAATGATAGAATCTGTAAGGGGAGAGGTGCAGGAAACATCAATCTGAATATGTCCTGCAGATACAGTAGATGAGAGTGGATGCTAAAAGGAAGAATGTAAGATTCAGGATATTGAGCTCAATGGATGGACTTGGGGTCTGACCCAGTATGGTACTTTTATGATCATGTGAACTTATGGTGTAGCCCAACTTTCCAGTGCTTGATTTTGCAACCTAAATAACATTCTTCTAACGTATTTTTTCAACTGTTATGATTTCATTTTTAAAGTCAAAACAAATTCTACTTTGCTGCAACTGCAGCAAGCTTCCTTAAGGTTCAGGGGAAGACCATGAAAGTATTGCACTGAGAACGCTCGAGCAACTGGAATGAAGGAATTACCTAAAGGAGATGACTTATATCAAGGGGGTGGGTCTGGTGCCGAGTCAGGAGTAGTCTGGCCTGACTCTCCCACTCCTCATCTATTCCTGGAGTTCCCAGTATAGTGTATGCTGCTGCTGAGATCTGGTCTTAGGTGCTGTCAAAAGTTTGCTCATAATGCAAGCAATACAAAAGAAGGTCGATTTTTAAAAGTTTAAGTCTTAGCCAAACCTGAACAGAATTTCATGGGACAAAGGTAAGAGACTTTTTTTTTTGGCTCCAAAGCTTTCTCCCTGATGAATTTCAAAGTTCAAGAGTAAGCAAGGGAGGTCTTAAAACTTTCAACAACAACAAAAAAAGCCAAAAGAAATGTTCACAATGGAAAGTGTTCAGCACTAGATATATGGGTTGCTGCCATATGTAGAACTAACTAGTTCTATAATATTTTGCACAATATAGCAGATTACTTCATGTTTCATTCCAATCAACACAGGACCAATCGGTCTTGCAAGGTCTTAAACTACTCAGCTCCTATTAAAGTCAGAGGAAGTTTAAACACTCAGGCTGCCTATACATGCACTCTGTGGTACAGGGGATGCATTTTAATTAGAGTGTTTTCCCAGAAAGCCACTCTAATTAAAATGCCTCAGTGTCACATATATTAAGTGTTTAAAAATGGTCACAGGATACTTTAGCTAAACCTAATTTGATAAGGTTTAGCTAAAGCACCCCCGTGGCCATTTTAAAAACATGCAATTTCTTAATACACATGACAGTGAAGCAATGCTGGAGCTTTCTAATTAGAAAGCGGAGCAGACTCGATCAATCAAGTCTACCCAATGCATTCTAATTAAAATGTGAACTAGCACGTGCACAGGCAGCCTCACTGCCTTGGAGGACGAGGACCTCTTGGCATACAACTCCCCCAGGCAACACTGTATTTACAAAGAGCTGTCTCAAATTCTATCAGCCCCGATTGTGATATTATATGATGTCACACCTGGAGTATTGCCACCTGAGGAGGTACCTAACCAAAATGACATGTCAGTATGTGTCATAGCAGGGTCTTACAGGAGGGCCGTGATCTCCTTAAGGCCCCCCTCTTCCGTGCCAAGTAGGCCCAAGGGCCCCCTCTAATTCCCCCCCGCCACGTCTTTGATGTTCAGGTAAAGTTGGGAGGCTGCCTCATGTCTCCTTGGGCACGGTTAGTTGTACCCTTTAGTCCTGTAGGCTCCTGGACCCCTCGTGGTTCTTACTGTATGATGGGTGCTTTAGGGGCACCCTAGCCTTAGGGGCTATGCGTGGCTCCAACCACCCCTGATACCATGCCCCAAGCCTCGCAGATGGAATTGACGTTGGTCTGTCTGTCTGTCTGTCTCTTTCTACGTACACTGCCGCCCCCTCTTGGGGCTCTCCTCGCCCTCTCTCGGGGCCTTCTCTGCGCTGTCGCCCTCTCTCTGGGGCTTGTCGTGCCCACACTTGGGCTTCTCAAATATTGCCCCCTTCCTGGGGCTCGCCGCGCCCACACCTGGGCTTCTCAATGTTGCCCCCTTCCTGAGGCTTGTCACACCTGCACTGGGCTTCTCAATAAGGTGCTCCCCTCTCCGGGGCTCGCCGTGCCCAACTTGGGCTTTTCTAATAATGTTGCCCCCTTTCTGGGCCTCGCCACACCCACGCTGGGGCTTCTCAATAGTGCCCCTCTCTAGGGCTGGGGTCTATACACCCCATATGCTGGGCCCTCCTGGGCACCAGGGTCCCCATGCCACTGTGGGTTCCCCCTGAGTATGCTGCGCCCTCACTGGCACTAGGGCCCCCACACCACTGTGTGTTTCCCCTGAGTACACTGCGCCCGCTCTGGCGCCGGGGTCCTCACACTTCGTTGTGAGTCCCCAATGAGGCCTCCTCCAACCCCTTATAGCCTCACCCAAACCACCGGTGTAATAAACAAAACAAAAACACAAGCCCCTAGGCTACAACATAACTATAAGCCGCCTGGCTGTAACCACATTGCTCCGACATCTTAGAGCTGCCTTCTGTTATCTGGCTTAAGCAGTACCTGTGGTTCCCACTGCGTCTCATATCATGGCTGAGGGAGCTCCTGCCTCTCTGGCTGCTGGCAGGGAACTGCCAGGCCAGCCTCAGCCTCTGGGCTTTATAAGAGCCAACCTCTGCCTCCTACAGGCAGCTGACTGCTGGCAGGTGTGGGTCATTTGCTGCCTCCAGTTGCCCTGGCAACCCACAGGTGGGCTCCTATTCCCTGCTAGGGCTCCCTGTGCACTGCCAGAGCTTCTCCTCTGGCAGTTGCTGCCCTCTAGGAGCAGGGCACCTCAGTGTTCTGCGACAGTATGGCAATCCATTACATTGTATGTATCCATTACATTTCTGTATCCATACCTCAGGCAGTTAACAGGACTGGATATTTGTCATTTCGATGAGCCAGGTATTTTAATAGTCAGTCCTAGATGGGATGCATGTTTAAGGATTGGAGCAAAGTGCTGCTGGATTCCTACATTCTGTTCTTGGCTCTTCCATTTGCACTGTACTGGACTCTAGGCCTATCACTTGACATTTCTGTGCTGAAGGTTTTCTCATTTGTAAAAGGATTAATACTAACCTCCAGAGGTTAGTGGAGTTGTGAAGCTTGATTACTATTCATGATTTTTTTGTACCTCTAGACATTTTTACCCATGAATTATAAACCAAAGCATGGCAGATCCTTGACAATTTAAGCCTTTATCTGCAGGGATTTATTTCTCGACCGTGTAAAGGCAAGCAGGCTAATTAAAGACAGGCAGTAGCACTGCCTGTTATAATAACTTCCCAGTTTCCCATTATAGGAAACTGTTTTCAGTGGTTTATAATTTTGCCATCTTTAACTCTTTGAAAATGAAATTGTCCATGCCAGATGTCTGTCTGAGACTACAGTAATTTTTTCTGACAATTTCAGACAAAAAAAATTAAAAATCAGCCATTTTCCAGAATTCAGATCAGGAAAAAATACATGGTCTTGCCTTGAAATTTGGTTGGTGTGGTGGCCTTTGTTTCACCCCTTGAAAGTCAACCCAAGTTTGGCCATTTTAAGATTTTTAGAAAACTGCAGCTTTAAAGTACAGTAGAGACAGAACTTTTCATATTATTAATTTCCCCAAACTTCTTTTGCATGGACATGCATCAACCTGCAGCTGCTGGGGCCTGAGCAGGATTTTCCCTGTATTATACCTGTGTAACTCCACTGCAATGAGTGATAGACTAACCCAGGGAAGAAAGCACAACACAACTATCCACACGGGTGATACTGCTCTAATCAGGGATGCATGCAAAGTTACAACATTTAAAGAAACAGTATTCTTTAGTGGTCCCTTGCAGTCAAGGATAATTGTCTTCCATGACTGTCTTATCTGGGTGTCTGAAGATGGCTGATGAGGCCTATCTGGGATCAATGGACTCTACTGCAGCTCAAACACGTGTTTCCATGTGGGGTGGGTGGTGCTGGATTCTTGATTTGGTCCTCAAGATGCAGTTTCTGCTGCTTGCGCTTTTCCATCTCCTGGTGTTGCCAAGAGGTTTCAAAGCACTGAGATCCTTGCTGCAGACTCTTCCTCTATTTGGGAGAGTCCTGAGTGATAGTCTCCCATGAGCTAACATTGATGCTGCATTTATTAAGTTGGCCTTGAGAATGTCCCTGAAGTACTTTATTCGCCCTCCTCTCCTTGGCTGAGCTGTGAGAATATAATTTGCTTCGGTCGTCTGGAATCAGACATCCAGATGACATGGCTGGCCCAACAAAATTGATGTTGGATAATCATTGCCTCAATATTCATGGTGTTTGCTTGTAGGAGGATGCTAACATTAGTATATCTATCTTCTCACTAGATTCAGAGAATATTCCTCAGGGAATGTGAATGGTACTTCTCCAACAACTTAAGAAGTTTCCTATACATTGTCCATGTCTCAGCTCCATACAGCAAGGTGGGGATCATAACTGCTTGACAAAACATAAGCATTGCTTCAGATCTGATATTGTGATCTTCAAACATGTTTCTTCAGATGATGGATTTCTTCGTTGATGTCAGCCTTCTGTGAGAGATGGCTTCCAAGGTACAGAAAATACTCAACATTCTCACCAATGGATCTGGATTACCAGAGCTGGGGACTGCTTGCTAGGAGCTTGTTGGTGGAGGAACTTAGTCTTCTGAATGTTAAAGGTCAGTCCCATTTTCTTGTATGCCTTGCTAAAGACATTGATGATTGCCTCAAGGTCTGCTTACCAATGAGGACACGCTATAGCATCATCAGCATTCTGGAACTCAATGACTGAGGTTGGGGTGGTCTTGGTTTTGGCTTAGCGTTAGATGAAGTTAAACAGCTTACCATCCATTTGGTGACTTAGTTCCACTCTGGCTGGAAACTTTTTGGTGATCAGAGGTAGAAACATGGCAAAGAATATTGAGAAGAGTGTTAGAGAAGTGACGCAGCTTTGCTTAACTCCCATTTTAACCTCAAAGGGATCTGTGATAGATCCATTATTGAGAATCACCGCTCACATACCATCATGGAGCAGGCAGAGAATGGTGACAAATTTTGGTGGGCATCCATATTTCAGAAAGAATCCTCCACAAAACTTCTCGGCTGACAGAGTCAAAAGCTTTCATGAGGTCAAAGAAGGCCATGTAGAGAGGCTTATGTTGATCCTGGCACTTCTCCTGCATGGCAAGCTGTAAAGATCATGTCAGTTGTGCTTCTTGATGCCCTAAACCCACACTGAAATTCTGGGTAGAGCTCTTCAGCAAGTGGAAGGAGACAGTTCAGGAGGGTTCTCACAATGATCTTTGTGACAGGGGGCAACTTCATGGCCAGATCTCAAAGGAGCCACCCCACCTGCCTAGGGCAGTCTGCCCCATCTCGCGTGCCATGACTGGGTTGTTAACTTGATTTATTAAGTGGGAGGCTGCCCAATCCTTGCCCTGATGCCAGAGAGTGCTGTCTGTCTATCCATGGCTCCATACCTTCCCTACACCATGGCCCATGCCTCACAGATAGCATCCAGATTATGATTACTTCCCCTGGCCTGAGGCCAGGGCAAACTCAGTCCATAATTGGGCTCTATTCACTCTCACACTCACTTCGCCTCACCTTGCACAGGGGGCCTCTTGCACTTCGCTCCCCTCTCAGAGGGGCCTCTTGCATACCACCCACCCTGGGCCACACTGTACTGCCCTAACTCTTTTTGAGCAACCCCTTGTGGGCTTTCAGGCTTAGCTACTCTCTCCCTGCTACCACCACACAGCAACTTCAGTTCCTGCGAGTTTCCCTACTCTACGTGGTGTAGCCTTAGACCAACGCTGGGCTGCATTTGCCCCAAGCTCCTCACTGGGCAACTCTACATCACACCCCACCCCGGGGTCTCCTCATCATACTTACAACTAGTTACTCATGGGGCTGGCCCTTGCACTGGCCTTCAGGCTTACTCCCAGTTTGGCCCTACTCAGCGTGCTCCTTGGATTGTCCCCTTCAGGCCTACTCCCAGTTCAGCCCTACTCAACCCCCATCTCTCACACAGCCCTTTAGGCCTACTCCCAGTTCGTCCCTATTCTCTCACCATGTTCACCAAATTGGTCTCATACCATGTTCACCAACTACCCACTCTGGGGCCTCCAGGATCTCATATCCCTGCGGGGCTCAGGCACCTACAAGTGAGCATACCTGGCCCCACTACTCCCACAGCTCTCACAATTACCCACCAGACAGTGGGGGCTGGGGTTAAGGCACCCCTACCCACCTTTCACCAGGGAGGTTAGCGGTTCTGGCATTTAGTTGAGACTGCCCTGCCACAGGCAGTCCCAACAAGCCTCCCTACCCCGGCAGAGTGCAGTTTTAGGTCATGCCCGGGAGCCTCTATACCATCCCCATAACTCCTGCCCTTACCCCCAGGATGTTCCTGAGTTGTAGTTCAGCCGGCTGATGTTTGCCTCACGGCCACTGGCAGCAAACTTCTGCCTCCCCCTATATAAGCTGGGTCCTAAAACGGCCACCCTAATCAGGCACCTGCTGGCTGCCTGCCTCAGCCCTTAAAGTGGCAAGCACCCAAAGGTGTGCTACCACAATTTTTCCTGTGGTGGACAACAAGATGACGCCTCTGTAGTTTCCACAGTCAAACTTGTCTCCCACCCTGAAGATTGTCACAATCATGACATCCCTGTGGTCATATGGGATTTCTTCATCATTCTAGATCCTTGAGATAAGGGCATGAAGCTGTAATGTGAGCTCCTCTCCTCCCTGATTGAAGATTTCTGCAGGGATTCCATCCACTCCAGATGCCTTGTTGTTCTTCATCTGCTTGATGGCTTTCCTCACCTTGTCAAGAGTTGGAGGGATTCTGAGATTATCTCTGACTGAGTGTTGTGGGATGGAGTTGAGAACACTTTCATCAACAACAGAGTCTCAGTTGAAAAGTTCTTCAAAATTCTCCTTCCAATGGAGATTGATGGCTTCTCTTTCTTCCATCCTTAGGTCTCATCCTTAGGTTGGTTCCTGAGTGGTTGGACCATAGATGGCTTTAGTGGCACTGAAAAAAAACGGACATATCATGAATACCAGTGAGTTGTTGAATCTCCTTAACTTGCACTTACAATCAATCAACTCTCAGATCTCCTGGTCATTCTCATCAAACCAGTCTTGATGTTTCCTGGTAGAGAATCCAAGTGGCTCTTCACAGGTGCTGATGATGGTAGCCTTGAGGACACCCTATGTGCTACTGACATTCTCCCATTGTTGTTGATTGGAATTCACCAGTTTTTCATTGAGGCACTGGTGGAAGAGGTCTTACTTGCTTGGGTCCTTGAGTCCTTCAGTTTTGATCTTCCGTCAACATTGCTTCTGCTGCATCCAACATTTGGGAGCCAAGTTCAGTGACATAACTGAGTGGAAGAGTCAGTGATCAGTCCAGCAATCATCAGCTCATAGCATAACTCAGGTGATGCCAACATCTTTGCAATCCTGAGCATGGACAATGAGATAGCCAATCAGGTGCCAATGCTTAGATCATAGGTGTTGCCATGATGTCTTGTGCCTGTTTTTCTGGCAGAACAGGCTGTTGGTGATGGTGAGTCCATGTT